CGCGTGATAAGATGGTGAATGGTTATGAATATGTGGCGCGAAATCGAGACAGGCAGTCGTGTTTAGGCGGCTCGGAGTGAGTGTAGTGCAGCGAGCCTGGGGGCAGCGCGCGTAGTCTTCGGTTGCTTTGACGCGCAATCTCGCCGGGAGTATGCGCTGGGTGGGAGTGGATGCTCGACAGGCAATCGGCGCGGGTAGCTGTTTGCCATGATGGCTCGGTCAGAGAGGAACAAGTCAGGGACAAGGTGACGGAGAAGGAATGCGATTAGTAACGAGGAAGAAGAGGCGGGTAAGAAGTGACAAGAAGCCGACACGCCTGGTGCGATTGAGAGCACACGGGCAGCGGCGCAGGAAGATAAGGTCAGAGAGGCAGCTGGAGGGAGGCTGGGCGCAGGGCCACGGGGACGAAGCTGTCCGAGCTATCGAGACAGCTGTACAAGAGGAAGAAGGGGTACGAACAATGGGACAGCTGAAGGACGAGAAGGTGCACTCACGATGTGCTAAAGTGACTCCCGGGCAGAACGATGCCGGTGGAGAGGGCGATGGCAGAGAGAAGGGTGAGGTACGTCGCGGAGGGCTGGAGAGACCCGAACGACGGCTGAGACGGGGCTAGCGTTCCACGCGGAAAGTGGACCCGGCCTTCCACGCGTTGGCCGAGGCTGTGATTGGCGCTCCGAAAATATCACGAGATGCGGAGTGCAGGTACAGGACGCTTCCTCTTCTGGCGACGTCTTCTGTTGCGTATGTAACATCGATCGACGGTTACACACAAACCTCATCACACCAACCGCTATCATGACGAGCTACATCCCCTCCCTCACGCTTCCCAGCTTTGCTTTCGAGAACCCTGCAGTGGCTATCCTGCTACCTGTTCTGTGTGGAACGGCCACAGGATTTGCCATCAGCCGTAAGTCAGTGGTAGACTCGTGCCGGAATGGTTTTCTGATTCCAAAACAGCAAGTGTGTCTCAGACAGCATACCGAACGCTGAAGCAACCTCCACTACATCCTCCCGGTTATGTATTCGGACCAGTCTGGACGGCCCTCTATGCCACCATGGGCTACACAGCTTATCGCGCGTACAGCATTGGAGCGACGTCTGCTAACCCCAATACCGTTGCTCTGGCGAAGGTATGAGAATGCTGTGCGCGATCTGCTATTATCCGAGCTAACCCGGTGCAGCACGGAGCCACTCTCTATACTATCCAGTTGGCCCTGAACCTGATGTGGACTCCTCTCTACTTTGGTCTCGGTCGTCCCATTCCCGCTTCAGTTGACATTCTCGCTCTCGGTGGAACTCTTGCCTACCTTATCAACATCTGGGGACAAGTTGACCCGGTTTGCGGATGGCTGCTCGCACCGTACCTTGGTTGGGTCAGCTTCGCAACATACCTCTGCGTAAGTACTATCCCCATTCGACGTGCGTGAATCGTCAAAGACTGATGCTGCAAACAGATTGGATCAGGTTACCTGAACAACTGGGACTTCAGGGCCATCTCGAAGAAAGATTAAGATATTCGTCCGTATCGACTAAGTGTCAAGAAAAGGTTATGTCTCCACATCACTTGACAGTGTAACATAGATCCTCTTACGGGAGCTAAGTATACACATGTACTATCATGTTGTTCAATAAATGTACATCACAATTCCTGGAGATACTGGTGCCCTCCCCCCTCCTTGACACTAACGTAACAAAATATTGTCACGACATTCGGCAAAGACGTTTCATCGAGTCCGAGGCCTCTCGGTTTCTTTTTCATGATTTAGCCACTGCTTATCTATCTTGCAAGTAATACAAAGTCTGCGCGAACTTAGCAAGCTTGCTATAGAGTGAGCCGGTCGAAGTGGTGGAGCACACAGAACTGGTCTGTAACGGAGAAAGAGACACAGGAAATATGAGCGAGAGAACTTGAGCATGCGAAACAAACGTCTGACAGGAAAGTGGCTGTACAAGATTTAAGCACTACACCAAGTCGTGACGTTTTACTCATACGTTCCGGGTTGCGGAGGCCTATAGGTCTGTGCATTCTTTCTGATTCATTCTCCATTACCGCCTCATACTACGACTGCCTGATCCGCACCCTCTGGTTCTGGCATTTAGATTTCCAATGTTGCTCAATCCAAAGCCCTTCGACGGTCTCGACTACTCAACTTCAATCTTCTAACACTATGTTACAAATCCAGTCGACACAACAACCACTCGAACGAACGGAGCAGGACAACGACGGCCCAGAAGTTACCGCTGTACTCGCTGCCCTGTAGGTCATATCTCTTCTAGTATAGACTTCAGCTAACAGCTTCTACTAGCACTCTTCAGAATCAAGAGCAATGCGTCCTTCTCCGCCTTCCCCCAGAGCTTCGAAACGCAGTCTATCGGTACGTCTTTCAAGAAGACGACATAGAGATTTGCGCCCCAATTGGCGAGAATACCAGCAATGATGGTCACACACATTATCCTAGACAGAACCTACGGCTACTTGGGACTTGCCGTCAAATCTATACCGAGGCCAGGCTACTTCCTTTCGCCTCGAATACATTCAAGGGTGGTCATTGGGCACTGCGAAGCATTACAAGGCTTCTCAGTTGGGATCAAGCCGATGCCATATCAACTATAGATATTGTGGTCGATGACTATCACTTCAGTTACACCATAGATGTATCGGAACCGGGACACACATTCGAGAATTTATACGCGCCCGTCCGTTTGGTTTTACATGATACTTTGTTATCGACGTTAGAGAGGCTTGCAAGGCTACCGGAGCTGAAACAGATTCTTCTCTCTCCCTCGCAATACGAGGACAACCCCTGGAATCAGATCTGGAAATTCGGTTGGGCGGAGGATTGTAGACTGTTGGTAGTAGACGCATTGCGACAGCAGAGAACTCGCCGCAAAGAGATAAAAACTCGTTCGCTGGTTGAACAGTAACAATATTGGGTTTGGATATCGATGTTGTGGCATCGACATAGCTGATAGGCCGAGATAAGGGACTGGGCCGTTTGTACTGTGATTTCATGTCACCTCACCGCCCCTAGCGGTAGTTTCGGACTCACACTCTGGTCATATGTAAACTCCATAGTCTTTCAAACTTGTTCAATCCTACCTTCGATGTTTTTGAGCTTCCATTGCGTGAGGATGAGATGGGACGATGCAACAACTCAGTGACCGCAGCTATGGATGCCGATGACATCTGAATGAGGTCGTATCAACCTCATCCCCAAATGAGATGCTAAGTGTGAAGCCGAGATAGGTAGGTGTTACTAAGCGCTCACATGCAAGGTCTCTGGAGAGCTGTTACAGCCAGTGAGGAGTCGCTTTCGGTGTCTTTCTCTGACCACGTGGAGTCCATGTACTCGACTGCAGTTCGCGAATAATGTGGATGATCATGTTAGAACTCGATGAAGCTTTCATATACCACCGAAAGCCTTTTTTTCTTTCATTCGTGAACTCTTGTAGTGACGCTGTTAAGAATGAATTGAACTTTCCAGATCGTGAGCGTGACAGCAACCAAATACATCTCCATTAGCGTCGACACATCTGAATAAGTCACGTATACGCACCGACACGTTTCGTCACGCATGCCTATTCCGCGGGCACGTCATTTAACTCTCACTTTCTTGCACTGGCTCGCGCCTTCCCTCCACACCGTGCTCCTTGTTTACCGCCCCACTTTCCTCGCACATGCTCAAAAGTGATTACGCAGCCTTCTTGATCTTACTATCAGCACTCAACTCCCAGGGCTCTGTATTCGCCATGTACTCGCCCGCCGAGGCTATGTCTGTTCCCGAACGTGTACGCTACTACGATCGCAGTGTTGTGCTCATGGATCGCCTCGCAGCAATGTGAGTACTGGATCTTGCATTCGTTGTACTGCTAGCTAACGAAGACACAGCTCACAGCGCAATCACCGAAAGTCACCCCTCCTTCGTCTTCCGGCAGAACTCCGCAACAAAATCTACAAATACGCTTTCCTCTCCCATCCAGTCCGCCCGACCCGTGAGCACAGAGAGTGGCCACACTGGGCATATCCAAGATCACAATTGAACCTACTGGAGACCTGCCGCCAGATCTACTTCGAAGCCAACCTCTTCCCGTTCGCCCTCAACGTTTTCGTCGGCTACGCAGAGCATGTCATCGAGCTGTTGTTGACGACTTTCACTCCGTCTCAAACCGACATCATATCCGATGTACGGCTATACGTTGACGCCTTCGGAGTGTACAGGGATGGCAAGATTCCAGAGGCCGGACTCAAGGCATGGTTCATTGAAGAACTGGGGGACCTGTGTCAGCTTGTCAGTCTGAAAGACGTAACACTGATCTGGTTTGGTAGTGACATTGAGGTTGTCAAGGAGCCCTTGAATGCTACAGTGCTGGACGTCTTCAAGGAGGCAGGTCGAGGAGATATCAAGGTCGCGGTCCGGTACTTCGATTGAGGTGTCGCGTGTTTGAGTGCTTGTCATATTTAGCTTCTACTGTGTTACTTGTCGGAAATGAAACTCTTGTCATCCATTAACGTTGATCAGCCTCACAAAGGAGGTACATTGCCACAAACTGTACCAGCGAGATCGCACTCTGAAGGTGTGCGCAATGCTTGACACTATCGTAGAGCAATTGGGTCTTATGCCTTCTGGGTGTGGTCTAGCTGGACGGTGAAGAACATGATCGTTGAACATTCCGCTGTGACTGCATTACTTCAAAGGGCTGCTCCTTCGGGTGCAAGATGTTCAAATAAAACTAAGCGTACGAACACCGAAAGATTGTGGCGTCAGTTCCCTCTAGGGCTGGCTCGTGCGGGCGCAAACATGCGGCACGTGACCCGGACCCTGCCAAGAGCTGCTGCAGCCTAACCGCTTGTATTATTCTTTGTTGCCCCACGCTCTGCTTTGGCAAAACCTCACCAACAACCGCCCGCCGAACGCCGAACCTCAAATCTCGCTGCAGTGGAAGGGGTGCGCATTACTAACAAGTGAAAGTGACAGATTTCCTGACCCGCCAGTGCTAACATGGCGCCGCTCGGTCCGCCTCCGTACACGGCCGAACAGCTCCAAGCGATAACCTCACATCAAGAACGTATTCGCGCCCAGGCAGAGCTCACCAGTATGTGAAAGCCGAGTCGCAAGGTCAGAAAGATACTTACGATCTAATTCTAGGCTACATTACGCGCGCCAGGAGAGAGAGGCAAGAGAGGGAAGAGCGCGAGAGGCTTCAGTCGAACGCTTATTCTGGCTCTGGTTACCGCACCACCTCCGGCAGCTTCAACCATTACACTCCTCCCTCCATTCCTTCCTACGCCCCCGTTCATAACCCCGTCTTCAATCCCGTCTATACCCCCGTCTCTAATACTTCCTACAACCCTCCGTACAACAAGTTCAACCAACGCGGTGGCTATGGTAGAAGCAGAGGCCGTGGCGCCGTAGGCAGAGGCAGAGGCTACACACCCTACCACCCCTACGCGCGTCCTCCCAATGCACCTACGTACACTGGATTCGCTACTGATTCCAATGGCACAAGTATTGTCACCCAACCACGCGAGGCCAAAGAGAACGACGATCCAGCGCAGGCACCGGCGGCCAGCACCAGGTCCTCATCCAGAGATCACCAGCCGACCGAACCATCAAGACTTTGTGCCAACTTCACACATACAGGTATTTCGACGAAACGACATTTCGGGACCTTTCCTCACCCATTGTTCGCTTCTAACTTTCGTCTAGGTCGGTGTTCCATCCCGGGTTGTCCTTTTGGTCATGATCCGGACACACAAACCGTATGCAAGTCGTTTCTCTTCAAAGGTGTTTGCTCCGACAGCAACTGTCAGCTGTCCCATACTGCATCGTCGCACAACACGCCTACGTGCCAGCATTTCCAGGCAGGCCGATGCACCAAAGAAGACTGCCGCTTTGCTCATGTTCGTGTCAATCCATCTGCACCGAACTGCGAAGCTTTTGGACGCTTGGGTTACTGCCAGAAAGGAGACACCTGTGCCGAGTTGCATGCATATGAGTGTCCCACCTTCGCCAACACGGGAGAGTGTTCCTACACTGGTAAATTTCACTATCCACACGTTCGTCTTGCCTCTCGCATGAGGAAGACCACCCGTCTGTCTTCTCCAGTCCAGTCCCCGCCTAATTCCCCCGTCCGTTCTCGTTCATCACACACCCCTGCTACTTCGGACGCCCCAGAGGATGATATGGATACTGCCGAGGATGCTCATGAGTGGATGATGCCGAAGACTGGAACTTCTCCGAAGCCACAGCAGTTCACACAGCAGGCGGACTTCGTTGCATTTGAGAACGACGACGAGTAGCATTGCCCACTCACTGGATCCGTGATATCCGGACATAGTATGTGCCCCTCTGCTCAGCTTCCATTACAGTCCTTCCTAATTTGAGGTTTCCAAAGTTTCCAACCTGTGGTTTTCCGACCTGGTAGGTAATCTCTGGAACGCATTCAGCTTGTCTTGACTTTTGAAGGTCCAGAGCTATTCATGGCGTCCAGGGTTCTTTCGATGATACCCCCTCTTACGATTTCCTACCTCTCTTGTCTTTTCCTTGTTTCTAATCGAGCGAAATCTCTCGCTCCTGCTGCAAGCGTATCATATGACCCGATGCGACGTTGTACGCTTGGCGGATTTTGCACAGAGGCTCACGAAGTCGCTGCTGGCTTGCTGATGGATACAGTCGTCCCATGAAGGACATGTACGTGAAAGATCACAGAAGAAAAAAACATGTAAAAAAAATCAAGAACTTAAGACAAATCTCTTCCGTCTGCTGTGTGATGCCATAGACTGCTACACGTAGTCAGTCGCCATCTTCAACAGGCACTAATTAATGCTTCGACGCGGGCATCAGTAGCGTCAGGTACCATGATTCCTAGTGTGAGACGGGCTATTAGGCTTGACACCCTCATAGAAAATGGTCCCTCTTCATTTGAATGTCTTGTATATGTTTGTGATGATGATCTCACCACATACGTATGTCTCGTACCGCAGTATAGTTACCAAATTGTGATTGCTGCGGTTCGTGGCGCTGCGTCTGACATATGAGGCGCGCAGTGGAGGCTGAGACGGGCTGCGGCTACTGCTTGGCCCTCGTCCTACAGTCAATCGTGCCTTACAATTCGACAGCCCGCGCCGGCAGGACCATGAGCGCTTTCACCTTTGCGATGAATCTACGGAGATATAGGACCACCCTCAGAATTGAATAATACCCGCCGCACGACGCTCGTTTTCCGCTGCGTGAAGTTACCCTTGGATATTGTTAGGTCTCGAGCCGCGTACCCCTTGCCTACGCTGGCAACGCGAAACTCGACGCGACAGCTCCTTTGCGCACCACCATGGCGCTCAAAGACTTGCTGAAGAAGAAGGACAAGATTAGGGATGAGGGCGCGACTCCCACGTCACCCACGGGCCCTACGCTGTCTCCCGACGTCCCAGAGTTCCAGTTCTTCCGCACCACGACTTCGACGCAAGAGACCATCGAGCCGCCCAGCTTCCCCGGCGATCCCACGCGCGAGTCTCCTCTACTGTCGCCGACATCGCGCGGCAAGTTTGGCCGATTCAGAAGTCGCAGTAGCGCTTCCTCTCAGGGATCGCAAGCAGCTGGTGGGGAGCAGAAGCATGACAAACTAGCGGAGCGGTTGCACTTTGGACGGAGCAGGTCGAGCAGCTCAATAAACGTGCCGGACAATCTGCCAGAAGTCGGAGGAGACGGCGTCGCACGAACAGAGGAGGAAGAGGCCAAGTGGGAGACCAGGGCTACGGTGCTGGTCACACATTCGCAATACGGATCTAGTCAGCCCAATACACCAAGCCACGAGTCTGTGAATCCAATGTCACATGGACGACCGACGAGCGCAAGGAGTCGTAGTGGGACTGTTGGTGCGCCTGCGGACGAGGTATGCATAATTCTGGGAAAGGGCAAGAATTGGTCTAAGCTTTGCATAGGAGACGATCCAAGAGGCCATCCGTCTGCATGAGAGTAGTAGTGAGTAGTCACACGAGTTGGGCTATCATGATAAAGCTGACAGAATGACCAGATCTTGAGGCCTCAACAGCGCTCTTTGGCAGACTTGCAGAGCCAACGGGTGCGAACAATGCTCTAGCGCAGGTTCTCTACGGTCTCGCATTACGGTAGGTTCAGCCTCACTGATCGCAGCCTGATATCACCAGAGCATACCCGAATGTTGCCCTGGATATTGCCCAAGGCAGTACTGACTAGAACATAGCCATGGCTGGGGATGTGAGCCTGACCAGGAACAAGCTGTCCAATACCTATCCATGGCAGCGGCGAACAGCGCTGAGGTCGAGAAACTCGCCCTCGGAGCCGGCATGAAGAAAGGCGGTGCAGCCAAAGGGGAGCTCGTGCTGGCCATGTACGAACTCGCCAACTGCTTCCGCAATGGCTGGGGTATCAAGAAAGATCCCGCGGCCGCAAAGCAATACTACGAGACCGCCGCGAATCTAGGTGACACAGATGCGATGAACGAGGTAGCCTGGTGCTATACCGAGGGGTTTGGAACGAAGAAGGATAAGGTAAGCAAGCCGTGTCGTCTCTCCTCAGCCCAACTGTGGCCGTCCTGCAGTGTACGCCTGCGTCACCGGTCAATGTCGACTCGTTTAGAGGTTCATGCGATAGCGACGCGAACGGTCAGCCCGGAGGTCTTGTACAGCCTCGACCTCAGCCATCACGCGCAATATGCACTGAGACACGACTTCCCCCCGTTATCCCGCCTCATTGTTTGGGCAGCATTGATTGTATTCGGATTAAGCGGCAGGTATGCTAACTGCGCCTCGCCAGTTCAAAGCGGCTCAGTTTCTGCGCCTCGCGGAATCCAAAGGGAACAAGACGTTAGGCAACACATGGTAAGCCCCATAGATTCTTTCCTTCATCCCCTTCTGTATCGAGCACGAAGAGCGAGAATATGCCGGGCCGAGGACGACCTTAACGCCGTGTGGATGGAGCACATGGTGGTCACCACGAGCAGCCATCACGACCTTCATCCGCGCGATCCCGTTCCAGCCGGTGTTGCATCCTCAATCAATCCTCAACACCAAGCCACCATAGCAACCAGACAGGATCCAACAATCCAACGCACAGCGCTACTGTCCGCATCGGCCGACCGGTTTCAACGCGCATCTGCCAAGCATAATCGATTGGCCCTCGATGCACCGTTTTGAACAGTCCTGCTCGCTTAGTCGATGCGGACGCTGGACGGCCCTCGCCCTCACCCGCAGCACGACCTGTCACACTTACTGCCAGTTCCCCGCTACGCACACATGATGGCATTCGCAAAGAAAAACTTGACCAGTAGCACATGTCCCGTTTGGCACAAGCCTCGCTCTCCCGTTCCAATAATGGATAGTGGCATGCCTCCAGACCCGTTGCGCTGGGTGCATAGTACACACAAGCTTGTCTACGGGGATACACGTGGCGCGTCGCTGGTGGCCTCGGTTCCGAAGCGGAAGAGTAAGCGGAACGATGGGGAGGTTTAGCCAATTATGACGGAACCACGAACGTTGTGGTGTGTGTGGAGCACAGTCAGATGGTGCATGTACGGATGGTCTGAGCAAAGCTGGAGATTGAGTTGCATTGATGGCGCGACAATGGTGGTGCTGAAAGAGAAGCGGAATATTGTATGACGGCTATCGCGACAATGACGGCAGCCTCGGGACGACGACCAACGACCCATCAACAACTTCATCACGATCTGGATCTGGGTCTTTAGCCCGCAGTAGTCTCGGCATCCCGTTGCCTTCTTGGTCTGCACCGACTGGATACCGAGGATGTTTTCACTGATTGGTGGGATGAACAACGTGCTGACTTATCTCTCTCTACAGGATCTGGAAGGACAAATACAACCCCAAATAAGGCGCGATCCGCAACCCGCTTACGGACAGGTCCTTCCGTCCCGGTCCGACTCTACTTCAACAAGCCTATCGTGGGAGTCATGAGGGCACACACCCGGAAGTGGTCGTGTGAGGACAGTGACGGAAGCCTGGTCCCTTTCCCGCGCGGGGAAAGGGAAAAACAAGCTATTGTTTTTGTTTTTCCTTTGCTCGGAAACTCACACCGTATGTCTTGCATAACGTTATTTCCAATAATTCACACTATTGCTGGCCTATCATCGTTGCCGTACTATCTTGATTTTTTTCTTTAACCCCCCATGACTGTTGCTTAGTTCACACGCTATCGTTTGCTGAGGATGCACGTAGAGTAAGTGGCTTGCTGAAAGGCCGTCATCTGGATCTGGGAAGCGAAGGTCCGGAGGGCTGTACACGGACAATGTCTCTGGTACGCGATAGGCTATGTTTCCGCTTTCAGAACGTGGGGAGCATGTGGTGTGGCACAGCAACGGCGTATGTCGTAGTACAGCAGCCCGTTTCTTGTTAGTTTGTCAGATGAAGCTTGCTGGATGTTGCGTTTTAGGCGATGGTGTGTTTACCCGTATCGGATCGTGTGTGACGGTCAAGACATCGGTCTTTGGCCTTGCCCTTCTGATGTCCTCTTTCGATAGATCGTCCTCCCCAAGTGTCCATGTATCGTATATCGTGTTGACTACTGCAGGGAAACTGACCCTCTTTGCTCAGCCACTCACACCACGCATCTCAGGCTTCCCGCGACCCATCTGATCTCCTCACAAAGAAGCGGTCCGAATATGAATCATCCATCATCCATGATACCATTCTCTGCTGTATTAGCCTCTCCATTCATCGTGTTTCACCATAGCTGCACGCTTCTGCACAGTCAAGTCAGATCCTTTCGACATGTTACCAATCAAGGTACTTAACATAGGGTGGGGCGTAAGACAACATTCGTCATCCATCGGACGAGGGAAAAAAAGGTGGCTCAGCCCCACTGAGGGCCCGATAACTTGCATATTGCATGATATGCTGGACCCTGTGGTAAATCCGCAGTCCGCAGACGTTACTGTCCAGGTCTCACCTTGTGAGCTGAGTGGGGGATGTGCAGTTTTTTTGGGGCTATTATTCCGCGTGAAGGAAGGTAATCGGCTGGGTGGCTTGCGTTGGCGAAGCGTCATTACCCACAGTAAAGAGAGTGAATTACTGGATATTGTGAACGGCGGTGCAGTCGAAGGGTACGTGCTTCAGGCCATGCATTATGCACCGCGCGTAGACTTGTGAAGCATGTCAGAAAACCCGCGGATGGCGCGTTTTCCCGGTTGCTATGGAAGGGAGATCCTTTCATGGACGCTTCGCGCGATGCGAGGCACGCGACGGACGGTCAACCGCGTGGGTCCTCGACGGAAAAGCCGTGAGTGGAGAAGGGGTAATTCACACATGAAGCG